ATACATACATACATACATACATACATACATAAACAGTATACTGTATGTACAGTACACTTGGAAAAACTGACAAATAAGGATAATTTGATGAAAGTCAATCTTTATCATGTCCTGAAGATGGCAGTGATGCAAAACAATGATGCAGCTGCTGAATAAGAACCTGGCATAATAATCATTATCATTAGAGCCCCAACTTAAATAAAAATAATGCATTTTGTCAACAACCAGACATTTTAAGAAGGTGTATTTTTATTATTATTATTCACATTGTGATTATTACATACAAAGTATTATTATTATTGCTTACTGTCCACTGCTTTTTAGTTCTTATGATAAAAAGGAACAGAGTTTAAGCTGTTTTTTTAATTAAACCTTCAAAATAATGGTATGCACAGGCTCATGCAGCATCCCAAAAAGGTCACGCTCAGAATACAGGATTTTTCTAAAAATGATGAACATCCTATGATTCTATCATCCTATTTCTGGTTTCACTTAAACTCGTCCGCAGTTCAGGATGTATCTTACAAACAGACAAGCCCACAAACACAGACCCGGACTAAAAACATCATCTGCCTTCACATTTTAATGAACACGCGAATTAAACAACCAGAACTTGAGGAGAATCTGCATTTTGAGGTGATTCCAGCAGGTGGCAGTATGGAGCTACATTAAAGATGAGAGCTGCTATTTAAGCTTGAAGAAGAAGACATCGGACAATTTTATGCAAGTAGAGGCCAAATGAGAGAAATAAAAGCTTAAATAAAACTTAAACCTAGGGACTGAAGGCAGGTCTCAGCGACAATGAATTAGTTACTGTCCTTTGACCATGTAGTATATGCATATTTAACAGATTTAATAGGGAAAGGGGAGTTAAAGTACAGATAAACAAATGCACGATAATGAAAAATAACCTAATTATAGTCGCATTGTCTCGTTTTAATTTAAAACTTCACATACCAGTGTTGCCAGCAGGACAAGCCATTAATATTTCAGCTTTTAGGGCGAAGAATAAGAAGCCAAAATGAGCAGAAGTACAAAATGAAAGTCAACAAACACTTCAACAGCAGAGCCGGTTTGCCCTCTGTAGTACCGCCCCAAACACCGCATGGGTTTCTGGGAAATGTAGTCTATCTAATCCAAACCGCTTTACGTGTCAAAGTTCAAAGAAAAATGTAAGAAAAAAGAAAAAAAAACGAAAGAAAGAAAAATACATAATTTTTTTTGACACGAGTGTTGCTTTGTTAATTAAAGAAAAAAAGGCATCTTTATTTAATACAATACTTGCAGCTTTTCAAGAACGAGAAAAGCCTCTTAAAAAGCAATGCATGCACAAATCCACTGTTTTTCACATGGAAGAACTACTTAAAAATAAACATATTTATATATGTCCTTGTAATGCATATGTGAGTCAGTGAGTGAAGAAATGAACTCTTAGGGCTTGCTCTTTTTGCAGTTTTTGAGCGCATCATCCAGGGCGTGCAGTACCAGATCCGCATTGCTCTTCTCGCAGTTGTATCCCATCAATCCGATCCTTATCACCTAAATAAAGAGAAATAGTCACTGTCTGCAGTGATGTGGAGGGTAGATCAAAAGCATACAGCTGACAKAGTTAAGATGTTGCTCCAGTTTTAAAAGTTATCAGGATCTGGAGACAGCCTCATGGTTTATTTATGGTTCTAGGATGAACTCTCAGGATCTACTAACCATGCCGATGGAAGGACCCAGTCCTCCTGTCATCTCCATCTGGTGGTGCTTCATGATGTAAGTCAACATCTCCCTCCAGTCGTAACCTTCGGGAATGGATATGGTGGTGACGGAGGGAAGCCTTAAATCCTGCAGGAGACATCTCAAAGTTACTGTTCACAGTCACAGAACAACACATTACAGGACAGAAATGCTGAGACAAAGAGCCCAGCTTTAGCATCATGTGGTGAGCGTTTCACAAATAAAACTTCTAATACATGATTTTTCATACCATCAGCTCAAATGTGTCTTTTTTTAAATTATGTTTCCTTTAAAAATATAGATATTTTGACACTTTTTGTTGTTTATKTTGCTTTATTTGTTCATTACTTTTTCAGGGATGAAAAGCTCGAGGCCCAGATCTTCCAGTCCTTTGTACAGGTAGGCTGCCACCTCTTTGTGTTTCCTCCAGGACTCCTCCAGCCCCTAGAAAGAGACAAAGATTAATCATATTGGGTGAGAAACCTCTGTGAAAAGTRAAAAAGTAAAGATTCTGAGAACAAACATTTCCAAATAAACAAAATCATTAGTTGAAAAATTCAACTCCACCTAGTGTTATTTTAACACTTTCTGAGTAAACTAACATCCAGTGTTGGTGTTAATTCACAGTGTTGATTTCCTCAGTGTTATCTCAACACTGGACAGTGTTAGATAAGCTCCGCCCACAATGCTGAAAAACCTCTTCAACCTCATGATGTCAGACACACCAGCAAGGGATGCTGGGTAATCTTGTAGAAATCATGTGTTTGCATGTTTATGACTATTAAAGATGTTCATGAGTGTAAAAGATGAGTTGTTCTGCTTAGTTTTCTTGTTCAGATTAGTTTGTTGTTCAACTTTAAGTTTCTGTTATTGGCCAAGAATTGACACCGCAAGTGAGAGGTACTTCCTGGTGTGTGAAGATCGACTCTGTGCTGTTTGCTGACCAGATAGAGTTGACTTCCACCCTGTGCAACAATGCAATCTGCACTGTAGCCTTCAGTGTGAAACTTACATTAACCATAAATGTCAGGCTACTGAATGCAGAATGCATTGAAAATTTTAACAATAAATGTGAGTGCATTAAACTAAGTAAATAACACAATTGTAGTGTTAAAACTGTACTTTAATGTGTCATATAATGACCTGTTTACCATACTTTGAAGTGTCACTATATATATTTTATCAATTGAGTAGAGTACAATGTTCACACTTAATAGTAAATAGTACTCTTTATAGAGTAATTTAAACTGCTGTGTTAATTCCAAATAACACTGTCTGTGTTAAAAAGTTACTCAATTTGGAGTGAATTTAACACTGGATTTTCAACTCTTGTGAAAGAGAAAATTTAACACCTATTCTGATTGGGACAAAATACACTTTGAAACAGTGTCAAATTTAACTCTATTAATGTTGATTTAACACTGCAAAATTTACTATATATACAGTGGTTTGCAAAAGTATTCATACCCCTTGAACTTTTCCATATTTTGTCACATTACAACCACAAACATAAATAT